AAAATTCACAATTCCATTGTGACAGCTAGCATGCCCTAATTCAGAACTACGAACGAACGATCCATGATGATCCTTCGTGATGCAGTGGTCTCATGAAATAAGGAAACGTATTCGTGCGAGGAGCACACGCGGATTTCGGACGAATAAATTTTGCTTGTATAATAATAGTTTGTTTCATAATAAACAATTTGTCAAGTGTAATTTATTTACTGGTAATAGTGCATGTTTCAGTCGGGCAAATCTTGGTTAATATTTGATACGCCGTTTTTTGCATATTTCAGACACATCCAGGAATATGCTCCCGATTTTAAACACTAATATCTCCTGAATTTTGAAGTGAAATACAACTGTAATATATCAAAATCTAAGTTAGTCATTCCTCTATTTGATGCAAGTTATTGCTCTTTAAAAGGTTTTTTTGGTTAGAAGTTATTACGAATCAAACCGGAGTACTTTTTTTTGGGACACCCGGTAGTATGCATGTCCTCCTTGTAAAATAGTTTATTTAGTTCAGGACCGTTCTGAAAATCACTGTGAGAATGCTTCCTGAAATTAAATATTAATTTTATAAAAGAGCTAGGGGCACGTTGCATGCTTTTGCATGTGACGTCATACCTACCTAATGCTAGCCCAAAATGCACTAAACCTGCCAAAGACAGCCGAGTAAAGGGCCGAGATTTAGTCTGACGTTGAGTATCATGGCTGTCATAGACATAATTATAGTACTTACGTTTCTTAATTAACTTCTTTTCAACATTAGAAAACTATCCGAATTTGCCCAACCACTTAAGAAAAAAGAGTCAACAAATTTCATACAAAGTATTTTTAAAAAATACCTTTCAAATTCTTTGTGTACTTCTTCTTCAACACTGCAGTCAAGGTAGGGATCTTTGTAAAAAACTCCCCCACTTTCCGCAACATCCTCGTTTGTCTTCTTATCCACTATGTTTAAAGGAAAAGCAATATTTTCTATTTGAATTTTGAAATCTAGAAGGTAGTTTTATGTTATTTGATAGACTTTAGTTTAATGTGAAATAGTTAGCACCGAAGCACGCAGACGAACGTACTACATTCAGTTATGTAAATTTGCAAACGTAAGAATCTGAATACTGATTGTTACATATAGTAATACGTGCAAATGAAATGCTTATTAAAATTAAACGAGGAACTGACTACACTCTGTATATAGCAAACGCTTGTCAGCTTTGTCGATCGCTTTATACAGTATTGATCATATATTGGCATTGCATGTTGTCACTAATTTTATAATACTTCGACTTGTTAGCACTCCTAACTTTAAATAACTTACTACGCTACTGTTGTGCCTGTTGGATCATGTTTTGCGTGTGACATGACTTTGTGACCTAATGACTTCGCGATGCCGCCGTTTGCAATATGCTCGGGAAATATTACCCATCGTTGAAACAAGCATGTTTAACTCGCGTTCAATGGAGGTTTAATCCATTGTTTCTTTAATAGCCACATTGATGATGGGTATGTATAAATTAAAACTGATAAATTAAATTTTAAAGATTTACAAATACTAGCTAGGTTAAGCCGGTTACAGACGAGCAAGTTTTCTATGACAAGTTTGCTAGCTTTTGAACAAGTGCACTTGTCATAGAAAAAATTGTCAAAGAACAAATTTTGTTCGTCTGTATGGGTCAACAACGAAAACTTGTCAAAGTAATCTGAGCATTTGATGTGATTGGCTGTTGTCGATCCACTGTACTATTACATTGCTGGCGACTAATAAATTGTCAAAGTAAACTTGTTGACACGTTCACACCGGTAAATAAAACTTGTCTTATGAAAACTTGTCATATAAAATTTGTTGCATATACACACGTGCACTTGACAAATAAAACTTGTCACATAAAAAGTTGTCATAGAAAACTTGCTCGTCTGTAACCGGCTTTAGCCTGCTCGCAGATAGCCTGTGTAGCAGGCGTTAGTGCGGGCGGGAGAAAAGAGGGCGTCGTCGAAGAAACGGCTGCCCAAATGGCTATGATTGACGTTTTGTAATTAGCATCTTCACCGGTTCACCCATTATCCAATCATAATCGAGATCTATATTTAGCATCGTGCATGTTTTTTTCCTTGGCAACTAGGGAGATTTTATGCTATTTTAGACAACAAAGAGCTTTTATCCTTTAAAAGGCTCCTGAACCACTGCATCGTCCCTCGTCGCTTCAGTTGAGAATAGAGATCAGTGGAAAAACAATGGGAGCGCGGGGCTTAAAGGGAATGCAATAGTACTGTGGAAGAGTCTGCAGCCTGAACCACGGTTGTTTAACGTATTCTTCCGTAATGTAAACAAACAAAATGGCTTCTCCACAAAGCATAAAAAACTATAATGGCTTGTCTTTTTGTTCCGAAAGAGGGTTGAAGATGCAGTATTGACGTCTGTAAAACCTATGAAAATGGGCAATTTTCAACTAGTTTGCTGTGGAATATTCTACGATTTTTTAACCTGTTTTAACAGATCGCACCTCGCAAAGATCATCGCGAGCTCCGCAGTTAGGGAGTGGTCATAATTATTTATGGGGGGTTGGTAAATGGGAGCGGAGGGGTGGAAAATGAAGTTTTACCCTTATAAATGGGGGGGGGGTCAAAAAGGTTTAAACGCAGAGAAAGGGGTGGGGGGTCAAAAAAGTGTTTGAACTTAAATACAATCGGTCTAGAGTTCTGATTTCTATAATCACAAATAGCAAAAAAGAAGACTCTGAAAATGCCATTTCCAACGATCTAGAGACTGTGTTCGACGCCAACCATGGTAACGCCGCGTGGGAGAGGGGCCCACTAAATTTAAGAAGCTTCCTATCCCCTGAGTGACCCAGTTGTGGTATTTACCTGATAAACATACCATGCAAGTACACTTAACTGATCAGCTTCGGTCTATCAAAGCACAATGTAACGTTATATTTACCTGATAAACATACCATGCAAGTACACTTAACTGATCAGCTTCGGTCTATCATAGCACAATGTAACGCTATATACCCAAAAATATATTTCAGAAAATGCTCACATTTCAGTCCTAAGGGTAGAAAATTACAAAACATTTTCTGGGCGAGAATATACCCAGACCCCCCTACTAGTACATACGATACCACACCAAACTGTTTGTCACCAACAACCATCTGTTATCTCTCCACACTCGATCAGTATAGTATGGTCCCTTTGTGCAGATGCCCACCCCCCCAGACAAGTCCCTGTGTTCAAATCATTTCGCTGTATGAAGACAGGCCATGGGTTAGGGTTATGGTAGGACAAATGTTGCATTGCAACGTAGAATATCTAACTTTACCTGCAATGCACAGCACACCTGTTTCATTGCTGTTAATTTTTCAATCCACACTAGGGCGGGGGGGGGGTCAGAAAAGTTTCTACTTTTATGAGGGGGAGGCACAAAAAGTTTGCCTTCGGTCTGGAGGGGATCAAAATAGTTTTCAATCCTTCTTTTCCCCATTTACCACCCCCCTCCCCCACACCATAACTAATGACCACTCCTCTAGCATCACCCGAATGTATGTATTGATCTCATGTATGGCCCGAATTACTATTGATTACACTATATGATGCATCGAATTGGCTGTGAAAACACGTCGATCACGGGAACTACCTAGACGTGGTTAAATGCTAACGATTTTAGTTTACAAACATTGCTTATTGATGTCCTTACTATTATCGAGCTCCGCAACCATGAAATATTCGAACAAAGTAGGTGAAAATTTGATATCTTTATCAACTCCTGTATAGTTTATAAAAAATTTTGTCGCCATATTAGAGCAATGTGCGCATGCCCGCGACCATCTTGTCCAATATTTCTGGTAATGATTACTTTAAAAAACAAATACGGGTCTGACACATCTGACAAAACCAGAGGACTGGAAATTCCTACCAAACTAGAAGATTTAGAAACGCTTATTTTGAATTTATGAACCATCTAGGTAAATGTTCTCTAAACTAACCTGGTCTCAGGCCAATATCTCCAGATGACACAGACAATCTTTTGGCTCCGGCTCTTGGATGATAAAAGTATTCATGTGTTGACCTATATGACAAGCTGCGGTTCCTACGCACAGAACTTTCTACAAGAATATTTCCACTTGAAGAAGGCAATCCCGTGATTCTTTCGGCTGAATGATGATAACACTTTTCATTTCGTGACCTGTATAATCTACGCGAAGGACTTTCTATTCTTTCGGCTGAATGATAAAACTTTTCATTTCGTGACCTGTATGATCTACGCGAAGGACTTTCTAAAGGAAGTTAATTATGAATTTAGTACATCATTATAACAAGCAACTACGAGTGTCTGATACAAATTCTGACAAACCAAAATATTGGAAACTGCTTCCAAGCTGATCGATTTGAAAACACTTATCATGAATTTATGAATAATATTGGTGAAAGCTTTTTTACCTGGTCTGGCGAAAATATTTGCACTGGGGGAAGAAAATGTTCTGATTATTCTGGCTGAATTATCAAAGTCTTCATTTCGTGACCTGTATGGTCTAAACGCAGGACTTTCTAAAGGAAGAAATCAAAGAAGCGTTATGATTGATATTAATAACTTACTGACCTCGACGTTCGGGTTGTACGGGAAAACATTAAACGGAGGTCTTGCTGTATTGACCGAGTGATTAGCGAGGGAAAACATGAAACTTATATCTCTTGGTCGCCCAAGCCAACGGCGCGAAGAGCCATTCCATGCGTAATCCCGGACCCTTTTATTCGTAAGCCTGGGTGCTAATTCCGCTCAGCTATTTTCACCCGTGAAAAGAAAAGCATTAACGAAGTTTAAATGGTTCTTTAACCACAGCAGTTACCTCTTTTCCGTATTTCAGGTTTATTTTTCTTCGTTTTCCATATTTTGAAAATCAACTTTCTGTTTGCAATTCGACCCTCATTGCGGCATTGAGGGACACTAAAAATTCTATATTGCCCGTGGACCGAATACTTGAAACTTTCCCCGTCATTAGCCAATCAAATTGCGCGATTCGCCAAATCAAATGCTTCTCATTTTAATAACATTTGTTACATTTAGTCATCACTTTAAGAAACAACTACGGGTCTGACACATTGACAAACCAAAGGACAGGAAATTCCTTCCAAACTGGAAAATTTAGAAACACCTATTGTGAATTTATGAACAATCTAAATGAATGTTCTCCAAGCTTACCTGATCTGAGGCCAATATCTCCAGATGACACAGATTTTTTTTTGGCTCTCACTCTTGAATGATAAAAGTGTTCTTTTGTTGTCCTATATGGCAAGCTGCTTTTCTTTCGCACAGAACTTTCTACAAGACTATTTCCACTTGAAGAAGACAATCCCGTGATTCTTTCAGCTGAATGATAAAACTCTTCATTTCGTGACCTGTATGATCTACGCGAAGGACTTTCTAAAGAAAGTTAATTGTTAATTTAGGACATTATATAACAAGCAACTACGAGTGTCTGATAAAAATTTTGACAAACCAAAATATTGGAACCCTTATCATGAATTTATGAACAATCTTGGTGCAAGTTTTTTACCTGGTCCGTCGAAAATATTTTCACTGGAAGAAGAAAATGTTCTGATTATTCCGGTTGAATTATCAAAGATTTCATTTTGTGACCTGTATGGTATAAACGCAGGACTTTCTAAAGGAAGAAATCAAAGAAGCGTTAGGATTAATATTAATAACTTACAGGGCATGTTTTAAGAAATTACAACTACTGGGGCTTAGTCACAATATGGGCCTTTTCCCCCACGCAGTTGATACGTGTGCATGAAAATCACTCTGTGCTCATGCAGGGGCAGCGCTACCGCTATTTGAATCCCTATGTAAGTGAAATATTGCTTACTAATTTCAAACACTAATTAGTATTTCTTTAGATCTAACTGGGATTAGATAATTTGCCGACTACCTGACGATTGGGAGTGTTCCAGACCCACAACCCACTTTTAGCGCCGCCCCTGCCTGTGCTGACTTTTATAAGAGGAAATGTCGAGAATGTGAGAGGATACGAGAAAGCAGGCAGATGCAGCTTTTTCAACAAGGTTAGCCTTTTACTATAATGAAGGGCCCAGTTCATCTGATATCATACTTCACTACTGGGCCAAGCAAAGGGCCCACTGGGGTAAATGCCCCATCAGTTATATAGTTAAAGAACGCCATGATAAAATAAGGCTGCTTTCCAGTCAAGCGTTTTATAAATTTACTATCGTGTGTGCAGATGAAATACATTGTTATTATTAACAGTACAGTCAGTAGTCAGTAACACATTTCGTTTAGTTTTTAGATAAAAATTCAAAATTTGTATGGGGAGATGGGGCCGAATGTTCTAAGGGGGGGGGGGGGGCGATATTAGCGAACTAGCTAGCAAGCGACGTTTTTGTCAACACGGACGTCGGATTGCCGAGCCGGATGATTGGATTAAAAATGTGTTTGTGTCAATTTGTGGTAATCTTCAACAAATATGACAAAACATAAGATTTTTAAAGTTTTTTTGCTTCCTTGCTCCAGCACTATGATATGCAAAATGCCGTATATGCAAATTGATATATTGCTTTTCGGATGACGTCCGTGTTGACAAAAACGTCGCTAATTGCTTAAGGAGGCTCCCCAAAGTTTCCAGTATATATAAACTAGAAGTTACTATCGCAAGGGAAGTGCTGTCTCAACACCAAAGTCCTGGGGGTTGATTATACCAATAAACTTCATTTACTTAAATTGCCTTATACACACTGTATGTATGAATTTATTTTCTTTAAGAAATATCGAAGTTACAACATGCAATAATTACTATATATACTATAAAGTGTAGATCGGATTTTCATATTTAAATGTATGCTCGTGATTGTTGGTACCAATGTTTTAAACAATCTTCACTTGTCAAAACGTCTAGAAGAACACAATGAGGAATATACATAATATGTCTTTTAACATGATATGACCAGTTTGTTGCAAGTTTTGATATTCTTTCTTTCCAAGGTAATGATAGTCCATACTGTATTTTCCATTTTGTAAACAAGTCTTATACTATTCGTTTTTTGTCCAATATATAAATATTTCGTATTTATTTAGCATGTACAGGTAGTATCAATTGTTGGCCATCATTATTGTCCAATAACTTGTTAGGTTACTGTACATATAAAGGTATGTAATATCTTGACATACAATGTTCCTGACATCCATATGGTAGATTGGAAACAAGTACAGCAAAATTCAGATTCCATCAGATTCCATCCCATTGCATTAGATGTATTATACAGTATCCATACAAACTTGTAAATCAGCATTCTTGTTTTAATATATTTAAATTTCTGTTAATCCAGAAGCTCCCATCCATTTTCATGCAATGTAATATATCCATATTATATTTTGACTTTAACAACCATTTGGTTTCATCCAGCAGTTAACATGGCACCATTCACATCCGTCAGTATTGCAAAACTATAGAAAAAATAATTGCCAGCATGAGATATTTACTTAGAAACATGGTAGCACATAAATGAATGAAAATAAAAGTAGGGCAGGGGGAGGGGTTTAATTAACAAACAAAATACTTACCATTATTTCAACTTGCAAATCATAATATTTTCATACATACAGTGATAACAATGAGTAAATTAGTTATTATATAATAAATTACATTTAAAAGGGTATATAGTCAAACTACATACCAAAATATAACTGGGACCCATATATGAAATCCCTCTCTTATTCAATAGTTTGTTGTTCTAAATGCACTGCTAGTAGCCTGTGCTAACTGATCTAGCCTGTTTTCTTCTTCAAGCCTATATTGTAAGTTAGCTGATGATTTCAAGCTTGTTAATTGCTCATACGTCATTGGTTCAATGACACAAGATGCAAGTAATTTTACTCTACTAATCGCAACATAGGAAACTCCAGCAGTTCTTTCAGATTTGCCAATAGAGGTGTGCGAATCCGATCCGAATCCGATCCGATCCGATCGGATTCGGACAGTAAATTACTCGGATCGGATCGGATTTCGTTTTGTTTCTGTCGGATCGGATCGGATTTTGCAGGTTTTTTGTCGGATCGGTTCGGATTTGATTTTTCTTGTATCACGTCGAATTATTCGAATATTTTTTCAAATTGAGAAAGTTCTATATTCTGCAGCTGTATTCCACTTTTTACGTTACAAATGGCATCAGAATTCACAATGGCTTTGAGCATAAAAGTAATTCCATATTATTGGATATATAGGAAATTTAGGAATGTTGTGTTTTTTTGTTTGGTTTGTTAGGTTTATGTATCATGAAGCCTGACAATGAGGTTTATTAGTGATAAACTTTAAGATGTTTTAAAATGTAAACCTAGCTCAAGCTCATGATTTATTATACTGAATAAAACATTTTTGACTAGTTGGGGTTTTTTTCTATGCTAATTCTAATAAAATATAAACTGCTGTTACTGTGTACTGTAAATGTGAACGCTATAAGGCATAATTATGTGATATCGCCCTGCAATTTTTATCGGATTCGTATCTGCTTATTTTTGCTAGAAATTCATTATTTCCAATATATCGTTTATGATCATGAAAAAATACGTTCATAATAATTAACGCACGCTGTACAGCGTACACAACTTAAGTTCGGATCGGATCGGATTACGAATTTTAGCATCGGATCGGATCGGATTTTATAAACATTGTTTCGGATCGGATCGGATCGGATCGGATTACTTTTTTCATCATCGGATCGGATTCGGATTGAGAACTTAGA